CTATCTTAAATTGTCATATTTACTAAAAGGTTTAAAAGTTAATATGTTTTGTTTTTCTATCTTTAATACTTTTTTGTAAAAATGCATTGACAGTTTGCATTTGCCATGACAAAGTCTGTTTTGCCATGGCATTTCGGCATATTGCCATGGCAAATAATTTGCCATGGCAAATTAGAATTGCCATGGCAAATTAGAATTGCCATGACAAATTAGAATTGCCATGGCAAGATTTTTCCTACTTTTGCCATGGCAATTATTTTTTAAAAAACATCACAAAACATTCTAAAACTTATCCTATGACATGGTATTGGCGCTATTGTTATGTTTTTATTGCAATCTCTATTTTTTTTTTCATTTTGCCATGGTAAATTTTTGCCATAGAAATGCCATGGCAAATTTCTGCCTTGGCAATTGAAAGATAAACAGCAAAAATTTGCCATGGCAATTACATAAAAGTTTGCCATGGCAAAATATGATCATTAAAAAAAATAATTTTTCTTTGAATTTTTATGTTTAAATTTATACATGGCAAATGACATATTAAGGACTATAATATTATAAATTTTAAAGTTTACGCAAAGAATATCTTTTCAACCACGGGTCCTATTAATTAGAATACATTGTATATGACATTTTAAAATGATAATAATTATGAGATCGAGGATCAAATATAATCATTTATGCTAAATAATAATAATAAAGCTTGAGTGGTACTTATATAACAGAGAAAAATAAGAATCCCTAGAGAAAGCCCAACACTGCAAATTTGAAAATTTGAGCCTGTTCATGGACGGTACTGGTAGTCCAGTGGTAGGACGCGCGCTTAGGGATCGAGAGGTCCTGAGTTCGAACCCCACCAGAGCACTGCTAATTTCCTTGAGCAAGAAATTTACCTGCGATTGCTTCACTTCACCCAGGTGTAAATGGGTACCTGCGAGGGTGGTATAACTCCGTTGCGCCAAAGTGTCGGCTGCACTAAGCGGAGTTAAAAGACTCCCTAGGGAGATTGATAGATAGATACCAGTAGCCCGATGACCAGGGGTAATAGCCATGGAGCAGAATTTAGGTATTTATTCATTTGACTACTTGTTGTTTTCATTTACTTAAGTTTAAATCATATTCCTACAAATTTGATTCATCTGTGAGTAAATCAAAGTTCTTTACTTAAATATTTATTTATTCTTTCTTACTATGTTTATAGTAAGTTGTAATATTCTAAAGTCAATGTTTGTACTTCATCTTAATTCGTTTAATTTAATATTGGATACCAATAAATTACTTTTTGTTTTAAACATGTGCTATTTCTACTTATTAAAAAGAAAGTGTGTTTTCTCGAACTTGTTTCTTACAAATGTATTTGTGAAAATCTTATTCTCATTCGATTCACACTGAAAATAAATGTGTATGTAGAGGCTATAAGAATTGTTGTTAAAGAGATTTATCCATATTCTTACTTTATGAAATTATTAACATTAAACAACCTTAAGCGAAATAAAACTGACTCATTTCAATAAGAAGAACAGCAGAACAAATAAAAACTAGAAACCACGTGATTAATATTTGCTTTCTGTGTCCTAGCTGTAAAATTCTAGCGCAAAATCTTAGTGACGGGAGATAACTCATGTATCGCTTCGGTATTTTCCGTAAGCACACGGTGTGAGGATACAATGCTACTCGGCAATTTAATCAAAGTTTCTAGGTAGCACACCACAGTAATGTAATATAGATAAATACAGAATCCCTAAAGAAAGCCCAACACGACAAAATTGAAAATGTTGCAGGCTCGGTTTGATTGAGCCTGTTCATGGACGGTACTGGAAAGTGCAAGTTACCGTCCACGCCCCCTAGCACCGGCTTAAGCAGAACATGAAATAGTAAAATTTTGAATTTAGAAACATCCGCAGATGTGTTCATACGACGGTTATCATGGAACCTTCAATGTGACACTTCCGTGCCATTCCATGTAAAGCACAGCTTCGAATGGCCAGGGAGGATATCTTTGATATAGTGAATATTCTGGATGCAACCTTCTACCCCATGAGCATATTGTGAAAAATCGCAGTTTTCCCGGCCCTATATAAATTCTTGAATCAATCGTTGCTAACATTTTCAATATGTATATAACGAATCAACGAAATTACATGACTAGGGAACCACCGCAAACATACTTCCTTTCCTTGTTGGTTTTGTTTATCATATTTTACAGAAAAAAATTATACAAATTATCGACGGGAATTATGGGGGCAGGGGACATATTCGAATGATGGCCACGGTCAATTTTTTTAATAACTCAGACATTGGTGTTTTGAAGGTACTGGAAACTTCTGATATTTTCTTTGTCATTGTAATTCTTTCTTGTTTTGTTGTGTAGGAAACGAGCAGTATTTTTGTTTGTTTTTTTTACCGAAACTAAGCATTTTGGTAGCTTTGTTTGTATTTGTGACTCTCCGAATGGAGGTGAAAAAGTTAAAAATCAAGCTTTGACAGTTGGCGCCACACAAGTAAGAAATTCCGGATAAATTTTGTGAAAATCTAAAACGCATGACAGACACTTTATAGGTCATTTTTGAAAATGCCATAGCTTGCACTGCGTGTAAGTGATATTTTTAAAGGAATCGGGCGGATTCTGGAGTATGCTGCACCTTCATGAAGATTGCCAATATTGGTATTTTTTAGGTGTGATTTTGGCTGGGTGGGGGTAAATATAAATTGCTGTCAGTCATTTTTTTATGGAGCAATGCATGCAAACTATTTTTTTCTTCAATGTATGTCATAAATCATTGAATAATGCTGTGCAACTGGTTATCTGCCTGTGAAACAGATTTTGAAATATTTGGAATTGTGTTTCTAGCCTCATTGAAATACAAAATTGTTCATTTTTAGGTCCCCTGCCCCCTATGTGTTTTGATTTAATGCAAATGATGAGTACTCTTTAAAGGGGGGGGGTAACTTTTCAATCTTCGCTTCAACTAGAACATTTCCTTCTTAAATTGAGGTTAGTATCCTAAACAAATGATAATTTCGCGCAGGATTGATTCCGTATGATTTGATGATTGGCCACTTAATTCTAACACTCCTGCCAATCCTGGTAAATATAGTACCATCAGAATAAAATTAAAATGAAAATAAAAACATTCCACAGACCATTTTTAATGAAACTAAAACATTTTACAAAAATTGACTATATTTTTCTTTGGATAGCAAATTAATAATTTATAACAAAACATTCAAAGAATTTTTTTTATTTTATTGATAATATTTTGCCATGGCAAACTTTTATGTAATTGCCATGGCAAATTTTTGCCATGGACATGCCATGGCAAATTTTTGCCATGGAATTGCCATGGCAAATTTGCCATGGCATTTCTATGGCAAAAATTTGCCATGGAAAATTGAAAAAAATAGAGATTGCAATAAAAACATAACAATAGCACCAATATCATGTCATAGGATAAGTTTTAGAATGTTTTGTGATGTTTTAAAAAATAATTGCCATGGCAAATTTGCCATGGCAAAAGTAGAAAAAAACTTGCCATGGAAATTCCAATTAGTAAATATGACAATTTAAGATAGTTTTCATTTTTTTTAAGCGCGTAAAAATAGGGGTTGAATTTGCCAAAAACTGGCGCGGCAGAAAGAAACCGGCAGGTATTTTTATCGAATTTTCACAGATGCACATTCGACTTTTCATCATCGTATTTTCGAATTTTCACCATCGTGATTTCGTTATTTTGGCTTATCACCATCGTAGATGCATTTTTATGTCATTGTACCTGTGACTTTTCGTTATTGTTCTTTATGCTTTTCGTGAACCTGAATTCGTTATTTTTATCATGATGATTATGTAGTTTCACTATGGATCTGCAAATATCCTAATTAATTATAACTAAGGGTAACTATTGATTCAATTTCAAAAGATCATAAATATATTAACAAATATATTGCTCGATAAATTCAGTGTAATACTTTTAAATTAATATTAATTATATTATTTTATTTGCTTCACTTTCATTCTTGTAGTGTTTACTATCATCTTATAGGATATATTTTGTTCTCTATTTTGCTTAAGCTTTGACAATTTGTCATAGTAGCATTTATCTATTAATTTTATTTGTACAAACTTTCCCACCAGAAAGCCAGTGTTACGTCATATATGTTCTGATCTTACGAGTTATCGTAGATAATGTGTCAGTACTAACCACTCTCTTTATGTCTACTTCTCACTTTTTACCAAAGAATCGGACAAAATGCCCAAATTTATAACTACTGTATTGTTGTGTACTATGTACAAACATTTGAACAATCAAAAAGTAAAGGGGGTCTTCAGTATATATTGCCTGTGGTGCTTATGCTTAGTACACTACATGCTTCATCTCTTCGTATGAATTAAATAGTTTAGCAGTTTTGTATAACTGCAGTCTTTTATTGCTTTTCTAACCCGTCATTGATTCTTTTTTAAAGGCTCATGCGAAACCTTTTGGAAACTATAACAGTATAACAAAACTATAAAGCCACTTAGATATAGCAAAAGAAGCATTTCATGGGATCTTTGTGCCTTTAACAATTGGTGTTCAACTATGTCATTATGCCCTGTTATAGTTTATAAATAGTTATTCATTGTTTATATAGCTAAATCATCCTTTGCTTCCTTTGCATGTACGCATTATGTACAGATAAGGAATTTAAAATGTTGCATGGAAAGTAAAATACCACTTTAACAGTTTGCTACTTTCATTTCAATTTTCTACTAGTATAAATCCATTATTAAACAGATTAAAACAATAGTAAAGTTTTCTCTAAAGACAAATGTATTCAATTTGAAGGGGTTAAGGCGTCGTTACAAAACGATAATAAAAGTACAGTAACATACTATATTAGATTCTTTTTCGGTCAACTTATGATTTCAATATTATATAAATCTTATGATAGCCCAAAAGTTGCATCGGGTTTATAAGTATATAAATGTATTTTTCTACTGTGTTAACGTGTTTCAGCGTTAAAATGCAAGACTTTAAAGATATTATCAAAGAGGAGAAATACAAGAACTGGGTTAAATGCACTTTGGGAATATCGCAAACGGGCAAGGCAGTATGTGAATACGTCAGCAAAAAACTTTTAATGTATTTAGAAGGTAAAGCTACTCTTAACAATCCTGGCAAACAATCTTACTTGACCAAAGACGAATATTCCCATTTTCGGGATGATCTAAAACCAGGATTGCGAAATAATGTGACAAGATATGTTAAACTAGAAAATGGCAAATGGAAATGGAATGTAAGTTTGCAGAAAGGAAGTTGTAAATGTCCGAGTATATTGGAAAAACTTATATGTTTACACAAAAGTCAGAAGGATATCCATTGGAAGAATATCGGCGACACGCGAAACCTATCACCTGAATGGGTTATAGCAAAGATCTTTATGCCAATGGGCAATGAGGATAATAAGGGACCAGATGATACTGACCCTAGTGCAATTTTCAAAGTGATGAATATGTGTGATTTATTCATGAACCCAATAAAAGCTGGAAACATTAACGGGGTTAGTAACAGAAATCTCACATATATAACAAACATGAAATACACAATTTAAATTCTCAGTCAAAACATACGATATAAATTTATACTCACAACATTGCTTTGCTTGGAAAATGTTACCGAAAACAACATTGTTGGTAAATAGACATAATACTATAAGATATTGAAAAAAATTACCATAACTGTATGAAACTTAACCGTACAAAACTGCAAAATTAAGTTAATTTCATAGAATTAGATTCAACATGTTATTTAACGTTTCAGGTTATAGACGCTAGAAACGCACTTTGCCACTCTTCCGACAATTTGGTAGACCTGGAAGAATATTTTAGGTGTATGGAAAACCTTCTCTCTGATGCTTCTAATGACCCGGACATTGATGATGACTTAAAACGAAGTATAGATAATAGCAAAACAAAAATTGTACAGGTAATGTTTCAAATATTCGCTTTACTGACTTGCATTTTTTATAACTAGTGGGAAATATTCTTTATACTGCAATTGCATCACCAATATTCCAAGGTGAAATATTTTTTACAAGAGTGTTAATTCTGTATTGTTAAAATCGCTTTATATAGGTTTTTATTCAGCCATGTAGGGCATTTCACCTCCATCATATATTTGGCATTTCAAGAAAACAATTTCAACTCAAACCTATTCCAAATGACAAATTTATAGAGATTTACATATCAAATTTGAAATAAAATGTCAAGAAATTATATTATATTTTACAGTTAAAAAAATCTGAAATTACAATGACCCTATTTGAAGACGCACAAAAAATTGAAAGGATGGCTATCTTTTACAAATTTGAACAATGTCTTTCTGACAATGATCTAGCACAACTGCAAGAATTATTAAAACTTGCGGAAAAACTAAGATCGGACCTTGAGTTTATAAATGTCCATTTTGATGACATTAAATCTCAAAGTTTGCAAATTGAAGAACTGGAAAAACAAATTAACAATAAAAAATGTACAATTGAGCGACAAACGATGATAATTGATAGCCAAGATGGTGAAATTACGAAACTGAAAAACGATATCAAGGCAAACGGTAAAGAAATTCTAAATCTAGAAGAACGGTTAAAAGAAAAATCAAAAGAATGTTGTGAATTGCAAGACAAAAGAAGTATACAAATGGATAGACTGCAAACAGATATTGCAAAAATCAAAACCAAAATTACTGACCTGTTACACCAAAAAAATAACTTAAAAAGACTAATTCATGAACAAAACTCAGAGTTCAAAAACATTTCCAATAAAATCTTACAGCAACTTGAATATCTTCAACAAGAGAATGAGCTTCAACGCAGCAAAATTGATAGTCTTGAATGGGAAACTGTTGCTATGGCAAGTGGACTTGCTGTAACGTCTGTGGTATTTTTAGGTTTGTAAACACAAAACAGAAACATTCATTGATTTAGGAAAGAAATACAGGATATTCAACTTTTTTTCTATGAATACAGCATTTTATTTTCGTCGAGTGGTATATAATATGATAATTTACATATCTCAAGATGAAAATAAATCTTTCTCGTTATTATAAGAGGTGCAAAAGATGCATCGAAAACCGGTTTTGTGGGCACTGATTCAATCTTGATGTGAAATATAATAATATCGATTCGATTCACAACAAAAATAAACACGAAAAATATGCAATTTTGATCTCTCTAGCTAGTTCGTTTTATTACGTGACATGCGATTAGTTGAATTAATTCGGACATCCAATTAGTAAGGGTATGTATATTCAGTAAGTATATCAGATTGGCTTAAAACGTCGAAGTAGAAACAATACAAAAAGTCCCCCATCAAAACTTAAATAAAGGGCGTCGGAACGCTTCGGGTCGCGCGAGGGTAACGAATTAAAAGAAACATGTAAGATATGTTTTGCAGTCGTGTCATATCCGATGTCAGTTGGTATAAATATCTTGATGCAAAAAGAAAGCACTGATGTTGATGTATTTACCAAGCCAAGTTCAAAGTTCAAAAGTCAGATCTGTAAATGTACTTGTTATTTTACTGATAGTTTATTACATTAAAGTCATTATATAACTTTGTATATACTTTTTTCCGTATTTGACTTTCCTATACTTTAATTTTGTGTATTGGTCGAATTAAGCTGAGAGAAGTCTGCACACATTTTATTTTATCAATATTCTCAATATGTATTATACGCCCGAAAGAATTTCGGTGTATATTGTTATGCACCTGATTGTACGTCCGTCTGTCCGTGGCAACATTTGCGGTTTATGTGCTTTTTCTTTGATCTTTATAATTTTTTTTTAATCATATTTTATTGCTATATACATGTATATACAATACAGATACAAATTTCATATGTATTCTAAACAGCAAAAGCAAACGGGTTGGGCCCAAGTCTTTACAACATTAGCGGTTGGCCCTCCCCGGTAGATAATTAAACGAAAAAAACTATATTCAATACTTAATGGCATACAACATAAACATAGTGTATATCATGTATAATTGCTGATGGAATGAATCGTTAGAAACGATTTTAACAATATACAATAAAGTAATCGAACAGATAGTAAGTATTTTATAAATTTATTAATATGGATGATCCAATGATTCAGTATCACATACCCCCACCCCCACCACTAAGTGACATCACGGGTTTCGTTAAGGCTGTTATGTGCATTTACTTTATATTGGGTACAGGGTATTTGTAATTGCTACTTATATAATATATATAAGTACATGTATAACTGATTACAATGAAGGTTTAATGTTTAGGTATAAGTGAATCGATTTGTATTTTAAATAAATTAATGTACAACAGTAACTATAACTTCATTATCTTTCGGTGCTATGCTATCACTACCAAGTAACAGTAGATTTGTATCCAGTGGGTGGAACGTACTAGTTTCTGTAAAGAGTGTTATTCTTTGCTTAGATAACTCGGGTACTTAAAGAAGAAATGCTCAGCATTCTCAACTGCATTTCCGCAATGACATGTGGGATTTTCACTAAGATGATTTCTGACTAGGTCACCATTTAGGTCACTGCAATTGTTTCTTATACGTGAGTGTAAAACTGATGATAATTTATCACCTATCAAAAAATGTTTAGGTACAATAGGAGCTTTGAACATTTCTTTCATTCTAGTTTTAAATATGTTTAGTGATTCCGCATTACGAATACTAGCATCAAGTGAATTCCAAAGTTCAGTTGCTGAAGGTAAGAAAGATCTATGATACGTTTCAGTACGACGAGCTAAAATTGCATAATTGTTATTATTTCGAAGTGGATAGTTTGATGTTTCCGAAACAGTACTTGGGAAGATATCTTCAAGATAATGAGGGACAAGGCCATTTTTTACTTTGTACAGTGACTAACTTTTGAATTTTACGTCTGTCTAAAAGAGATACCCAGCCGATTTCTTTAATCAACGAATTTATCGATACAGACCTAGTTAGCCCAGTAACGACGCGCGCGGCTTCGTATTGCAATTTTTCTAGTGACTGCTTTTCGTTTAATGTACAACCGTCCCACACTACTGAGGCGTGATCTTTATGTGGCATTTTTCCCCATAACCCAGTTTAATAACCACATAAACCAGTCGGTTTATGGGATTTCCTTCTTTTTTAACTATAATAGTGGACGGAATGAAGCTCATAGAACATTGGATGCTCGCCCGTCGATCCGTCCGTCTGTAGCAGGTTATTTGTCCGGTCTGTATTTTTAAACCGCTGGAAGGAAATTGAAACTACTTGGAAGATGTGCAGAGTACAGGTTTGACCATTGTCTTGTCAAGTCAATATAAACGTCACATGTAGTCTTGTTTCAATATCAAAATTTGGTGTCCACTCTGTATCTTTTGAACCGATAGAAAGACACTAAAACTTTATTGCAGAAATATTACTTAAATTGAGACGATACGCAGAACACAAGTTTAGACTTTCTACAATTAGAATAAGCGCCCCCGGGATTAAATTGATTTATATAGACTTATATAGGAGTTTTCGTGTCCGGTATGTCTCTTTTGAACCGGTATTAAGAAATTGTAACTTCTTTGCAGAAATGTTAATCATAATAAAGCGATATGCAGAGCGCAGGTTTGACCTTCCTCAGGTCAGGTCAAGGTCACACTTTTGTCATTTTGTATCAATTTCTAAAGTTTGTGTCCGCTCTGTTTCTTTTAAATCTATTTGGCAGAAATATTATTGTTACTGAGATGATGTGCAGAGCGCAATTTTGGACTACCTCAGGTCAAGGTTACACTGAAAATCCTAATGTAAGTGTATATATTACAAAAAGAGATTACAATTTATGAATTGATTAATATATTTCCTCCCAGGCAATACATATGTATATATGTATTTACCTCCCTTTATTTTTCAGAATCTATTACTTTATAATAATAATGTGTTTTTTTTCTTTCAACAAACTATATACTTTCTGATTTTTTCCTGTTAAGATAATTATAATTGAGGAGCTTTTATAGGTTTATATGATTTAGATATTTAGAAATTGGACAATCTTATTAATTGAAACTGATGTTACGTGAGATATGTAAATTCACTAATTAACAATTAGTTGTAAATGAGGCATATAAAATGTCAATTTTTTAAGGTTATTTATCCATTCTTTTGACATGATTACTGTTTTGCTGTATTATGGACAGTCTCTCTGCAATTGAAATACTGATATATGTTTATAGGAAGAAATACCAATATAATAAGTTTAGCCTACTGCATTAATGACTTGCCTAATTTTAAATGTTTTGAATGAAAGAAGGTAATAACAGCATATTTGCATATGCATAAAAACAATATTATATTTATGTTCAGCTTAGATATTTTGCATGAAACATCCTATGTTGACATCTACAATATTTATATAAATCATGCTCCTGGGGTCAATTTTTTATCCGGCCCAAGGGACCACATATATAGAAAAAACTTATTTTCATATATGTATTCTTACGTAAAGTTGCCACTCCCAGATCTCAGTTATTTTGCATGAATCACTACATAGAAGAACTCTGCAATTGTCTCAACGATCATTTCATATTTTTTACATTATTAAATGGATGTGCCAAGTGGGTTGGTGTGTGGGGGGGGAGGGGAGGGGAGTGGGGGGGGGGTAAGTCTAGTAATGATTACATGTACAGAGATTTATATAGTTAACATGTTTTAAAAGTGTTTTTTATTAATTTTATTTACTTAAAACAAATATGCATTTGGGCGTATATTGCCAAGCCTATGCGGTGCTCTTGTTTAATAAGTATATAATAAATGAAATTACGAACTCGGTTGTCAACATATTTAGGCAGCACTTGTACGGTAATTTAAAGTTCCTGCCGTCAATGTCCTACAAGCAATACGTCCGAAAATTGTGATCAAAACTAACAATTTGGTTAGAGAAAACACATTTTGTTGAGAGCATAATTATATAACATAAGATTGCATATCTGCAATGAAATAATCCAGTCTACAATAGTCAGGTAGTCAAAAAAGAATGTTATGCCGTTAAAGCCCAAAATACACGTAACCCTGGCAAAAAATACATGCAAATATACAGTTAAAGAAAATCGTCTCTGCTTTAACAACTCCCTATACATGCAAAATATCACAAAGAAACAAGTGCTTAACCTTGTAGATTTTTTGCTTCTGCTTAAAGTACATAATGTTTGTCCGCCTCTGTAAAATGACCTGTTTTCAGCAAGCATGCTATTTATTACAATGTTTACAAATACTGCCGGCCAGAAAAATAATAACAACACTGAAGTGAAGTATGGGGTAACGTTTTACAGCTGCCACACAACACTTGACACCTGCTGTTATGATGTATATATATTTGGAAAAAGTGATCCCTTGGAAGCATTAAAACAGCAAAATTACTCAACAGCATGTGGCCATGTTTTCGAATTTTGCAAATGGACATACATATGATGTCACATAAAAAAATCTACGCTGAAAAGACAACAAGTCATTTAAATCCTAAATAGTCCATATATCCAAGTAATCAATCATCCCTGGCCAATTGTACAAGTTTCAGGCTCTACGTTGCAATGTTAATTGTTTTAATTAGGTCTTTTCAACATATAACGTATTCAAAGTAACGAGTTAATTCCTATATTTATAAATTCTAATCAAGTGGTAGTGTCTAATTTGGTATTTGTGTTCGCACTCAATATTTGATTAAAGCTAGGCCATTAACCAGTGACAACTCAATGTCATTGTCTCCATAGGACGGGTATTTATTCAGTTTTACCACGGATATGCATATTCTCAGAAAATGTCCACTTTATTGCCTTGAAAGTACGGTCATATATTAAGCAATTGAAGCATTACTGTATATACTCAAAATTCAGATTTTATTTACATATTCTATTAGACGTACAATAAGATGGCCATTCCAAAGTACATTAATTATTTCATTGAAAGTTGAAGTTGTCAGACCATCGACAAGAATTGTAAACT